TTCCCTTGAATGATATCCACCTTTTCATCCGACAGAAACCTGAACATAGTAGCGGTGCAAGTGCCACACTGCCTTGACAGCTACTTCACTCTGAACAAACCTACTCCCATAACGCCAAGAGGGTGATTTCAGTCTTGTATCTTTAATGAGCTTTCGTGTTTAGATGAACATTTTCCAGGTTTGGTTTTCTCCTAGGTATGAGTTCTTGTAAAACAAACAGCAGTACTCATTTTTGTTGGAAGACTAGAAAACGTTATTTTAATTTCCTGAGCTTTGTGTATCTTTTTTGGCCAAAGTTCCATACATCAGAAAGCAATGTGTTGTCTGAGAGCCCTTAGTAAGAAGTTTTTATGAAGAGTCTAAACCAGTTGTGAGCTGAAAATGGCATTTCATGCAAGCCTCTCTTACTTTTTGAGTACCTGCATTTCCAGGTGTGAGCAGCTGTCCCGGACAGCTTCGGCACGGTGTAATTAGGTCTTTTCCTTTCTTCAGGTTTCGTGAGTTACGACAATCCTGTCTCTGCCCAGGCTGCCATCCAGTCCATGAACGGCTTTCAGATTGGCATGAAGCGCCTGAAAGTGCAGCTCAAGCGCTCGAAGAACGACAGCAAGCCATACTGAGCACCCTCCCCTCCGCCACTGGAGTGAGAAGGATCTTCTGGTAAGTTGGAGAGGAGCGCACTTAGTGATTCGAAGCCCTAAGGCTGTGTTTTTACAGTCCTGGAAGCTGATCCATGCCTTCTGTCTGGCACATCTTCCCTTGAAGACTCGGCTGCAGCCTCTGCTGAGAATCCTGCTTCGGATGGAGGACAAGTTTGTGCTTTTGTTTCCAGTGTTTTACTTTGGAGTTTAGGTGCCATATCGCTGAGGTGGTTTTTTTTTTTGTTGTTTTGTTTTTTTTTTCCCCCCCCCACTTATTTGAAGTTTGCTGTGTTTGTAACCAGTGTGTGTTGAGAAGGACCAATGCCAGCTCCGTGGGGTGGGGAGGGAAGGTTAAAGGGAGCAGCAGAAACTGAACACCACACTGCTTTGGGATAGAGAGGAGAAGGGGAAGCAGAACCGACACCACACCACCATGGGGGAGAGGGGAAGGGAAAGTGGAAATAATGCAGAACAGCTGATGAAAGCAAAGATGGGAAGGAGAACTGAGTCCATCCAAGGTTGGGTGAGCAAAAAACTGACTCCATGTAGCCTTCGTCATGCCCCATCCACTCTTGGAAATTTCCTTAACAGTATGCCATGGTGGGGATCTAGTAAATCATCTCGAAAGCAGGAGACAAGCTAGGAGGGTGAACACGTTAACAAGCCAAAGGAAAACTGCAGTGATTTTTATTGCTCGATATAAAGTAGTGTTTTTAGAGCACTGTGAATGTACACAGCACTTTATAAAATTATTAGATGATGTCCCTGCCCAGAAAATTTCACTGTCCATTTACAGTTGAATATTAACAAGATGCAGTGAATTTCTCCATGTTTAAGACAACTTGTCTTACGTACTTTATCTAGGTTTAGAGAAGGGCATAGAGACAGACAGCTTAGTCTGGATGAATACATCTGGGGCTGGAAACAAGAAACTTTTGATCCCTGGTAACCTGCAGAATTTTTTTGACAATTTTTCTTCTTAACAGTCCATCACATTCCCCATTTCTATGGGATAGTGTCGTTTTTGCAGAGTATTACTTTGAATTCATTCTGATAAGCATAATATAAGTGCTGTTTGTTTCTCTATTAAAATGACTGTTAAACTGAGAGAGAAAGCCCAGAGTTACCCCAACACAGCTCTTGAGGCTCCTGTTTCATACAGGTTCTTGTAGGGTTGGATTTCTCCGTCTTAGCTCTGTTGTGAAGATAACTTCCTGATTTCAAACAAACAAAACCACCAAAAAAACCTCCATCAAAACACGCAAACCCAATTTGTGCAGTGTTTTTTTGTCCAGTAGGTAGCTATTTCTTTTATGCTGCAGTTTTCCTTCAAGGTGGTGTGTACCAGTGCAAAACAGACCGACGCAGGAGCTGTGAAACCAGAGCAGAGCATCGAGCCGTTCAGTCTGACTCTGCCTTTTGGTACTCGCCGTTGCCTTCTGCATTGCAGGAAGATCGTACACACCCCTTCAACGAACACACACCTTTTCTGCACACCTGTGAAATCGCTAGTGCGTTGCTAAGGGCCTTTGTTGCACACTGGTTTTAGGGGGCTCAAAGGACTTTTGACACTCTGGCCTGAGTCGTTTCAAGAAATCAGAGTCGAGTCCCGTTTCGTAACCACCAAAATCCACCTCGGTCACAAGAGGAAGTTTACAATTTCTGTGCGTCTTTAACAGGAGTTCAATTTACCTCATATTTTCTCCTTTTCCTTGTTTTCTTTGTATCCCCAGTTTGTGATGCTGTTTCCCAGGGCACCAGCTGATGCTGCCATCTGGGAGCCAACCGCTAAATAATGAGCCTGTGGGTCAGATGTAGGGTTGGGACTTTCTGTCCGGCTCCAGCAGAAGGAGCACTGAACCCACCAGACCCGAGATCACGTTCAGAACCTGCACCCATGTGTGGTGGTCTGTTGGGCATGTCAGGCGTTCCCAGGGACTGGGTCCCCTGGGATCTCAGACCTCAGAAGTACAAGGCCTGACCTGTAGCATCCAAGAAGAGCCCTTTCTGATCTGAAATTGGATATCAAACAGTTAGTCGATGCCGGTCTGTCTGTATTGATGACAGACAGGTAAATCCATCAGTATTATTCAAATCGTTTTATGGTGGCAAAAGTTCAAAGGCCAGACTGCCAAATTTCCCAGTTCTGCTGGCATGTGGTACCCTTCTGTGTTAATTATTTGAATCTCTCTAGAAACGTAAACATACACTTAAGTGAACCATGTACACTTGAATTCTGCACAATGGGAAAGATGTGTCCTGGTTTTCTGAGAAAAGAGTGTTGGAGTGTGAAGGCCTCCAGGGTGATAATGGGATTTTTTTTTATATATATATAAATAATATACTTTTCAAAAAAAAAGACAAAAAAAAAAAGGAAAAAAAAAAAAAACAAACATAGTTGGGAGCAACGGCTCCAAGTGCAACCTGCTGTAACCAAGAATGTTGTTTCTATTTTTATAGAAGTTTTATACCGCTCCAGGGTGGAGAATATTTATTACCTAAATTATTTCACTGGAAAAAAAAAAAAAGGCCAGGGTTTTGTAGAATCCTGAATGTGATTGTTTTACACACATAATGATGTGCATGATTGAAACTACTGATTTTCAGTGGCCTGTTTGCAGCCCAACAACTGCTAAATGGGGAAGACGAACGCTGTGAACCAGTGGAGGAGAGCACTGTGCTCTGGGGTCTCTACAGTCACTCTTACCTTCTTTTCACCCTACCCCACTGTACTGCCTGAGACCTTTGTCCTGTTTTTCTTTTAACCTGATGCTCTGGCCTCTTTAATAGTCATTTCAGTTGCCCAAAATTAGGTATTTTAGCTTCTGCATCCTACAGTGCGTCCTCAATACTGAAACTTACGGATCGAGCTTGGCGTTGTTGCAAATAGGTGCAGCTCCTATTGATTTTAGGAGGTTCACCAGTTTACACTGGCTTAGTTTGATCAGTGACTCCTCCCAGACATGATCACCTTGAGACACCTAACTTGGGCTAGCTCTTGTGCCTTACTGGCATAACTATAAGTATTGCCAAAAAGAAAAGGAAACAGAATCTATGCAGGTTAAATTTTAAAAGATGTGATCCTCAGATGGTTTGAATCAGTGCAGTTCTGCTCTCTTCAGTAGACCTGCATCAGTTTTCACCAGCTGAAGATGTTGCCCGTTTTTGTGTATTTGTTTCAGATTTCCCTTTCTTGGTGTACTAATGTATGTGTTGCCAAAGTTAATAAATGTATCAAGTTTGTGACTTGGGCAGATTTTTTTCTGATGAGAGAACTGATCAGATAAAGTCAACGTTTCTGTGTCTGTCTGGTGGCTGCTGCTGACTCTGGAGATTCAGCCTCTTCTTGCCTTCCAGTCTTAAGCCAGTTTTCTTCCTCACTCAGTAGCAGGAAAGTCTGGGATTATGGGGACTTGGGGCTTTTAAATTTTATTTTATTTTTAATTCCTGTCTTGCTCTCGTTCAAGTGCAAATCAAATCAGTTTCCTGGATAGTAGGATAAGAGTTGGGTGAGTTCAAATAAACTGCAGAAGGATTGGCTTAAGTAGCCACACAGACAGAATATTCTGTATGCTCATAAACCAAAGAATCCGAATTTTCTACAACAAAAGCTATGATGAGTTCTGATGAAATGGAATTCCATATTACATGTGCCACCAGGAAGTATGTACTTATGTTTAGAAACAAGGTGGAAATGCTCTACTTCATAGATATATTTTTTTTGTCTCAGAAGACATTTGGTTTTACTAGATATGCCGTAATAAGATGAAAGTATTACGAACAATTGAAGTCTTAGTCTGATGCTACTTAGTATCAAATACTATAGTAAACAAAATCATAGATTGGTCAGTCCCCCAGATAATCAGCAGTCCAAAATAGGATATCTCTTTGTAGTTTAGGTTGTTCTTCCAGTAATACGAAGCTTGCATTATTAGAAAATGCCTTTGATATACAGTGATTAAATTTTAATCCTAAGAAGAATGAGGGTTCAAATTTTTCAAAAGCATCTGAGACAATGATGGTGAATATCTCTTTATATTTTAATGGTGAGGCAGTTTACCAGCTGTGGGCACTACTATCTGGAGAATAGGCACCTCCAGAAAACTTCTCACTGGCAAGTACATCTGTAAGGAAGAAGCTTTTCATCTGAATACTGAAGGTCACATAGCATGATAGATTCTGCTCGCAGGACAGAATTAACTGAAGTGTTTCTTCTTGGTAATGATTGTGAGCCAGGGAAGAACAGTCAAGCAGGATGAAATTGTTTGTATTTCATTTGGAAATATCTAAAAGCAACTGGGAAATGAAGGGTGCAACCGTGAACACGTAAAATGCTTTGAGAGCTTCTTACTGCAAACACTTAAACGCAAGGATGTTCCATATCCCTGAGCATACCTGCCACAAAACATAAAACAGAAGGCAGAATTATCCCAGTTGTGAGAATAAAACAAGGACAAACTGGAATAACTTTTCCCAAGTCTTTTAAGTTCTTATCCAGCATCTCATTGCTCTGCTCTTGTAAGGCCAGTCCTTCCTCAGGGCTTTAGTGAAAGTTAGTGTTTCCCCTCAAAACTGCTGAGTGAAATACTTGAAAAATCTCCATCAAAAAAACCCTCAAACAACTCCCACCAAGAACGTCTGTGGTGCACGCTTGGATGTCACTTGATTTCACACCTCTTGTTGTTTCTCAAGCCTGAGTTGGTGACGAATTTCCCTTTCTGGTTTAGGACTGAAACCTGGCAGCTGTCTGCAAACTATCTAGAGTATTTCTAGAACTATAGAAATTACTGCAAGGGTTGCATCGTTCTCTGTTTGCTGGAGTTGGTTTAAACTCCGTACTAAGTCCTTTCCCTGGATGGGAAAGCGTGAAGAGCGAGTTAACCCCGCAGAGTTCTGGCACGCGGAGCGTTGCAGGTTGACAGGATGTGCTTCTTGTTGCTTTGGAACTCGAATGCAACACTTGCTGTTCCCAAACATGCTGTAGATGCTGTAAGGTGATACGCAAGTCTCTCCCCAGCAACTTTGAGATGTGCTGAAGAATAAGGTGACAGAGAGGAGATAAAGGGGAGTCGGGGTGGGGGGGAAGCAAAAACTTTCTTCCTCTCCCCCCTCCCTCCCCCATTCTTCCCCAAAAATGTTCCTTGTCTCTTGCAGTTCACAAGCTGAGGGGAGGAAACAAAGGTATAAGAATTATTTTATTTATAAAGTCTTCAGGAAACACATTTTTTTTTTTTT